CAAATCACTCTATAAAAAAGATACCTGCACATGTATGTTTATTGCAGCATTGTTCACAATAGCAAGATCATGGAACCAACCGTGCTGTCCATTCAAAAGAGGACTGGATTAAAAAAATGTGGTACATATACACAGTGGAATATTACGCAGCCATAAAAAAGAACAAAATCATGAACTTTGCAGCAACCCGGATGGAATTAGAGTTTATAATACTGAGTGATCTCTCACAGAAACAAAGATCTGAGTATCACATGTTCTCACTCATAAGTGGACCTTGAACAACTACCATAATACTATAAGAAAAGGATTGACAGTGGCGGTAAACTATGTGGGGGGCAGGGAGGGGAAGAGAGGTGGGATTAACAGTAGTCGATATCTGTCTGGGGAAAGGGGGGCACACCTCATCAACAAGGGTACCTGCATAATGAATATTTGTATACCTAACCCTTAACTGTACCCCACAATTTTAAAATAAAAAATATATATTTTAAAAAAACTGTTAACTTTTTATTCTATTCTGTGAGATTTCCTTAACTTTGAATTTCCAGCCCTTTTATAAAATTTTTATTTCCCTTATCATATTTATAAATTTCCAAGAACTCTTGTTTTTATTATTCCTTTATATAGTGTTCTATTCTAGTTTTATCTTATTGTTGTGAGGATATTAATTATAGTTTAAAAAAATTTAATTTGGCTGTGCTCCCTGTGTTGTCAGTTTCATCAGGGTTTTTTTTTGTTGTTGTTAATCTCTCTTGGCTGTTCATTTAAAAAGACAAGGCACAAATAGATAAACATATGGCAATGCCATCTGTTTGCTCTAAAAGTGAGGTGAATGTGTCACTTTTTCTTTTTTTAGCCCAGATGCTAATGTGTCTATTTTTTTGGTTATGTGTCAGCTACTTTCCCATTAAGGTTTACTTGATTCATAATAAGTCTCACAGGTTTTCTGCTTTGGGGCTTAAGTTGTGCTGTAGCATGTTCTTTCTTTCACTCTTTTCTGCTTCTGTTTGATGTGCTTTATTTAGCGTGCGGGGCTGCAGCTGTTTTCCATTGCTTGTGGTCATCAATCGTTGCATGGATTAGGGTTCACTGAGCTCTTGGGCACTCAGCAGAGATTGCTTCTGTGTTGGTGAGTGCCCTTTGCTTAGGGAATCTGTCTCTTTGATGTCAAGAAAGGTTCATAACGATCCAGCAGTTCTACTCCTATGTTTGTACCAGCAAAGGATTAAAAACAGGTATTCAAGCAAAAACTTGCACATGAATGTTCATAGCAGCACTATTTATAATAGTTAAAAGGTGAATCCAAGCAAAATGACCATCAGCTAATGAATGAATAAACAAAATGTTGCATATCCATACACTGGAATGTTATTTGGCCACAAAACTGTATTGATATATGTTACAAAATGGGTGTTTCAACATTGAAAGCATCATGCAAGGTGAAAGAAGCCAGTCACAAAAGACCACATATTGTATTATTGATTTATATGAAATGTCCAGAATAGTTAAATATATAGGACAGAAAGTAGATTTGTGTTTGCCTAGGGTTGTAATAGCTAAAGAATCCAAGGTTCTTTTTAGAAATGATAAAAATATTTTATAATTGTGGTAATGGTTGTACATATCTGTGGATATATTAAAAACCATTGAATTGTATGTTTTAAATGCATGAATTATAAGGTATGTAAATTATATTCCAATAAAGCTGTTTAAAATAACATAGAATGACTTGTACAGACCTTCAAAATATTATTCTAGGAGGCATTGTAAAGCCCTACCTATATTAGTCACTGCCTCCTCCAGTGGTCCCTTCTCACAGCCAAACTCCTCCATAAATGCATTTATTCTTGCAGCCTCTCTTTACATATTAAATGCTTGCTTTCATCTTCTTAGTTGAACTTTGATCCCCATCATTTGCCCTAGACTTTCAGAATCAAAACCTGGTTTGTTTGTCCGTCCCACCCCATTCTTTTAGCTTGTTCAAACTGTTGACTTTTTTTTTTACCTTTTATCCCCCTGTTAAAAATCCTGCAGATTGTTTTTTCTGTCTTGCAACCATGGCTTCCCTTTCAGATTTTGTGTTTGGTCTATGTTCTACAAATAATGTAAGTGTTATAGCTACTTTTTTTTTTTTTTTTTTGAGATAGGCTCTTGCTCTGTTACCCTGGCTAGAGTGCAGTAGTACGATCATAGCTCACTATATCTTTGAAGTGGACTAAGTGCACATGTCTTTTAAATTAAAATTTAAATGTCTTGGATCATGCACTGTTGGTGATTTTATAAACTTGACAGTGGAAACACTGGTGGCTAAGAGACTTTAGGAGATCTGGATGAATACAGGGTTAGTAAATGTCCTGACTTGAGAGCTGTCATCAAGTCAGTCAGTAGTGGTTCATTTCCTCTGGGCCTAAAATTCACTTGAATTAGCCCAAGGAGCCCAGTGTTGTGGGAAACAGGAAGTTAGAGATGGCAGCTCTTGGTTAGATGACATTGAGAAGTGGTGATTTTGTGCACTGAAGAGAACACTTTTAAATAATTGGCAGGCTTCTCTTCCTCAACCTTCCTGTTGACATCTTATCTGTTTCATAATCTCTTTTCCTTTTCCTTGGCACAGGTTTCTGTTCACCTGATTCTAGAATTTTTTTCCCCTTCAAATTATCTTAATTAGATTTCTTGTTTAGTTTTCACATCTCTCTGTCAATATATTTGTCATCAAAGTGCCATTCTTGCTTTAAGTATATACAGACCAGTTGTCGTCTCTCTCATTATTCCTTCCTTCCCTTTTCCTGAAGAACTCAGACCCTCTGACCTGGCACAGCTCTCTTGGAAACTCTTCTGATGACTTTAAAACCCACTGATTCCAGTTTATTGCATTGTTGGCTGCATAGCCAAGTATGTTACTTTAATAGTAGTTTTGAACTGTATTCCTGTGGCTTAGTCTGTCCGTTCGCCTCTAGGAAGGTGATGCGCCTCATAGTCCCTTCTGTGCTGTCTGCTCAGCACTTCTGCTTTTTATATCTAGCCTGTGGCTGTAAATCACTTTTTTTTTTTTTTGAGTTGGAGTCTCACTCTGTCGCCCAATCTGGAGTGCAATGGCCACCGCAAACTCCACCTGCTGGACTCTGGCGATCCTTCTGCCTCAGCCTTCCAAGAAGCTGGAACTACAGGCGCGCGCTACCACGCCCGGCTAATTATTTTGATTTATTGTAGAGATTAGGTCTTGCCAAGTTGCCCCGGTGGATCTCGAACCCGCGGGCTCAGGCAATCCACGCACCTCAGCCTCCCAAGGCGCGGGATTACAGGCTGAGCCACCAAGCCCGGCTTGCAAGTCACTTCTTATTTTGTACCTGCTATATTGACACAGTCTCTTTGGCCAGAGGGTTATGGAAAACCAGAACATTTTTATTCAAGTCTACCTTTTTATCCTATCTATTCTAATAATATTGTTTACTTAAAATTTATAGAACATCCACACTTCTTCCTCGTGTTATCAGCAAATGTAGCGCAGAGCACTGAATTTAAGAATAAATAATTAACACATTGATGAATTTCCCAAAATACCCAGAGCACTTTAAAAATAACTTGCTTTACAGAGCTTTGACGTCATGGCCAAGAACAATTCCAAGCATAACACTATGTACAAATTCTTAATAAAATCCTTGTATACTTTTATACTGTAATCAATTTTAGATGTATTAGAGACAGATCTTCAAATGGCATTTTAAGACAGAATTTTTGGGGTTTTTAAAAAATTATTATTTTTATTTTTATTTTTGAGTTGAAGTCTCACTCTGTCACCCAGGCTGGAGTGCAGTGGCACGCTCCCAGCCACTGCAGCCTTGACCTGCTGGACTCAGGCAATCCTTCTACCTCAGCATTCCAAATAGCTGGAATTACAGGCACGCGCCACCATGCCTGACTAATTTTTAAAAAAAATTATTGTAGAGATGAGATTTCGCCAAGTTGCCCAGGCTGGTCTCAAACCCGAGGACTCAGGCAATCCTCTCACCTCGGCCTCCCAGAGTGCTGGGATTATAGGCACAAGCCACCGCACTTGGCCCAAGACAGAATTTTTAATTTTGAAGATTAAAATAGCTATGTTATTTTCTTTATAAAGGTAATATATAATGCTATAAAGACTTATTATTTTTAGAGATAAAGTCTCAGTCAGCTGCCCAGGCAGGAGTACAGTGGTACAATCATAGCTCACTGCAGCCTCGAACTGCTGGGTTCAAGTGATTTTCTTGCCTCAGCCTCCCTTGTAGCTGGGACTGCACTTGTATGCTGCCACTCTAGCTAATTTTTTTTTTGTAATAATAGGGTCTTACCAAGTTGCTCAGGCTGGTCTCAAAAACCTGACCTCAAGCAAAAGATTGTTAAAAATTTATAAAAACTCAACTATAAGCCATTCAGCCTATTGATTTTAATATATATCATTTGTACTGTTTTAATCTATCTGTATATCTATATACATATACTAAAAACAGAAGTGCTTGTATTTGACAACTACATTAATGTTATAGGCATTAGAATCAATTTAGATTTTGTGACAAAGGAAAGTGGCTATAGCAGATTAGAGTACAAGCTATAGAATAGCTAAGAAAATACGTCCATGCTAACTGTGAAGGAAAACAAAAATAACATGTAAATAAATACTGAATTCAGTCTGCTATATGATTGAGTTGGAAAATGACATAATATAAAGACCTATGTGCCTTATGTATTCGTCAGAACATTGTATGGGACTATATGTCGAAAATTGTTTGTAGATGCAAACACAATGTAGTGGTTCTGTTTTTTCCTCCCTAAAAATGAAAATTATACTGTTTTTTCTACAATAAAAGTAATTATGAAAAAATTCAAACCAGGTTCGGTGGCTCAGCCTGTAATCCTGCGCTTTGGGAGGCTGAGGTGAGTGGATTGCCTGAGCCCGCGGGTTTGAGACCCGCCTGGGCAACTTGGCAAGACCTCATTTCTACAATAAATCAAAAAATGAGCCGGGCGTGGTAGCACGCGCCTGTAGTTCCAGCTACTTGGAAGGCTGAGGCGGAAGGATCGCCGGAGCCCACCAGGTCGAGGCTGCGGTGGCTGGGAGCGGCCACTGCCCTCCAGTCTGGGCGACAGAGTGAAACTCCAACTCAAAAAAAAAAAAAAGAAAAGAAAAGAAAAAAATTCAGAAACTGAACCCCTCAAAAAAGAAAAGTCACTCATTCCATAAACAGAATTATGTATCATTGCAGACTTTTTAATAATATAATTATAAAATTAAAATATATAAATGTTTTTTCCTAATTGCCTTTTGCTGATTAGCAATTTTTTATAGACATCTTTTATGCCAATATATGTAATTCTATATCATATTTATTTAATAGTTGAATAATATGCTATTTTAGAATGTACTTTAGTTTACTTAACTAATTTCCAGTTTAGGTTGTTGTTCAGTTTTAGCTACTCAGGACTGTGATAGATATTCTCACACATTCTTTGCATATTTTTCTGCTTTTTTTCTTTTTTCTTTTTTTTGAGTTGGAGTCTCACTCTGTCACCCACACTGGAGTGCAGTGGCCACTCCCGGCCACCGCAGCCTCAACCTGCTGGGCTCCAACGATCCTTCCGCCTCAGCCTTCCAAGTAGCTGGAACTACAGGTGCGCGCTACCACGCCTGGCTAATTTTTGATTTATTGTAGAGATGAGGTCTCGCCAAGTTGCCCAGGCGATCTCGAACCCATGGGCTCAGGCGTTCCACTCACCTCAGCCTCCCAAGGCATGGGATTACAGGCTGAGCTACCGAGCCCAGCTCTGCTTATTTTCTTTAGATAAATTTCTGAAAGTGACATTGCTGGGTCAAAGGGTACATGCATTTTAAATTTGATCCTAGTCACCACACTACCCACCAGGAAGGAATAACAAATTTATTGTTACATACAACATAGATTTAGCTTGTACCCAGTTTTATGCTGTAATGCATTGTAAATGAGACTTCAGGAAATAGACAAAGCCACAGCAGTATTAAGATGGAGTTTATTATGTATTCGAATTTCACATATTAGCAGTGTTGTATTAGGTCCAGCAGTGAGGGAAATGCTTATATTTGCAACTTGGATTATGTGGTATTCCTTTTCAGAAGCAGTGCTCTCCCATCAGCAGTTAAACTATAATGTTGCGAGTGTGTGTTGGTATTTTGCTGCTTTGGGGACCTGGTCACAGAGCATGATCCTTTCTTATCTTAGATGAGTGACCGAGGAGGTGGTGTTCCTTTGAGAAAAATTGACAGACTCTTCAACTACATGTATTCAACTGCACCCCGGCCTCGTGTTGAGACTTCCCGTGCAGTGCCCCTGGTATGTGATCAAGAAATAATGAAGTGTGTGTTTGTGAATTGCCTTCTACTTGCTCTGACTGATAAACAAATTAGTTAAGCCATTGTGGAAGGTGCCTCACAAAGAAGGGAAACGATTAGGAGGAAACTCTTTACTCTAAATTCCAACAACCTTTGGAATACTTTTTTTTTTTTTAATTGAAATGGACACAAGACAAAGCTTATTGTTTTGGAGTTTTTGTTCCTGAGTTTGATGGTGATGTAGCAGTAGTTTTCTTGTGTTAAACCATGGTTTGAAGTATTATTTCTAATGTGAAGAATAAATGACTGGTTTTACTAGTATTTGGTCAACACTGATTTAAACTTTAGTGTTGACATTTTTCTCAAGTATTTGTGACTAGAATGATCTCGTTCTAGATTCAGAAATAAGACTAAATTTCTGATCCATTTAATCACCAACCTGAAGTAGGTTCAAATTGTAACTGTTATGATAGTGTTTTCATTGATCTTAGTGCTGCACATTTTTGGGTTTTATATGACCAACTTTTTAATTAACTTCATCTTCCTCTTTATCTCCCAACTCCCGAGAAAAGCACTTTGCCAAAATTTGTCCTGAAGAACACTATTAAAAATCACAGAGAATGCTTTTTCTTCAGGTTTTGAAACATCTCTGGCATTTCCACTGGAATGATGCTGTAATATGATGACTGTGGTATAAGATGGACCTATTTTTAGACCCTTTTCTAGAAAGTTACTAGAACTTCATTCTAGTAGTTTTACCTATTACATAGCACAATTTCTGTGACTACAGTCATTTTAACTATAGTTAAAATTATTGCTCCCAGAATGTGTTTCTCCAGTTGAGATATGTGGCTTCCAGAAGCAGGGGTCCATATGCCAGGGGCAGACAATGTCAAGTGATAAACATAAGCATCTTCTTAGAATTCTAATTTAAGAAGTAGGGAGAGAAAAGGGAGGTGCTGCTTTTTAGTAAACAAATATTGTAGAACTTTTGTGAAGAGCAGTGTAGCAAACTAGACTGTGGATCTGAACCATCTGGTTCCATTCCTAACATCACAGCATCTTAGATGTGTAACCCTGGGAAAATTATTAACCTCTTAGTGCCTCAGTTTCCCCAGCCTGAAAAGTGGAGTTATTGTGAAGATTGAGTGACTTAGTATATGTAAAAATACTTTTTGTAGTGTCTGACTCATAGTAAATGCCGTGTAAGTATTTGTTATTTTAGGATGCAACATTTCTGTGAATTTTAAGAAAATAGGCTTGTCATAGGGCAGACTTCCCCATATATCTACATGGCCTTAGCAAGAGTGAGACTGTTGATAAGCTCTTGCAGAGCCTCCTTCCTGCTGCCATGACCACTTTGTAAGTGTACCCAGTCAACAAGTGCCAGGGTAGCTGGAGAAAGTCTGCCTGACATCCACAGGAGTGGCCATCTGCTCACCTGATTATTGAGAGCCTACTCTACATGACTGCTTCTGGTGGGCCTTTTCTTGGACAGGACATCTTCCTTCACACTGTCAACCGTTCAGACAGGAGCATCCACGTCTCTCTTCCAGACCTCCTCTTCAGTTGTCCAGTGTTATTCTTTCCCAGTCCCTGACCAGCCAGCCACCTGCTAGCCACTGCCCGTGCTGCAAGAGTTTGCTTTTACCCCTGCCTTTCAGGCCAGCCTCTGCGCCTGAGAAGCTGTAGTGAAAGATCAATCCATTTGGCTAGTGCTAGCACACCAGGTGGGTTCTTTTGTGGACTAGGCCCATGCTGTTTTCACGGAGTCCCATGAGTCCATAGATGTGGTTAAGGGAGAGAAGGGAGAGTAGGTCAGGTGTCATGGGAGCCTTGAGCCACCTGCTTGTACAGTTTTCTTGGGGCCACTTCTGGAACCAGTTAGTGTATCAGAGCCACAACAGGAAGGAGGCAGCTCACTCAAATTATGGTAATTCAGGGAAGGCTTATTTTCAGAGAGACTAACTCCAGAGGTGTGGGTAAGGATAGTACAGGAACCTGAGGCTTGCAGCAGCAGAGCCATTACCATCCTGGATGACAGAGATAAGGAGAAGGTGAAGTTAGTGGTACCCAGAAGAAGGGAACATTGCAGAATAGCTGCTTACTCTCAAGGGCTCAGCCTGCCCAAGGCAGCCTCACAGGGAAGAACCAGGGAAATGAATACCCTGCTTTGACTCCCTCTTCATTTCTCTGGGGTTCCCCATTGTTTCCTCTGAACTCCTGCTGGGTTCTCCAGGACCTGCTGGAAGCAGGGGTCCTGGGAATCTATTGGCATAATTCATTCTAGCCAGCCTCCCAGGGCAGAAGTGTGGACATTAGTTGATTTACAGGAGCAAAACAGAAGCTCTGGTTAGTAAAGTCAAGTATTAATTGACAGAGTCTGGTGGAGCTGGAGCCTGGGTTTGTGAATTGCATTCTGATTTCTGCGTCCATATAAGCTCTTAACTGACACACTGGACTGTAATTGAACCTATGACTTAGTAATGAAACCAGTCCAAATGTTTTGTATTAAATAATTGGTAGGATTTATCCAATAAGGAAGGAGGCCATTCCAGATACTGGAAGCAGGATGAACAGACACAGAAGTTCTATGTTTAAGGAACTTAAAGAGCAGGAGATGTAGTTCCACTAGACTGGAAAGGTAGGAGACAGAGACCTGATCTTATTAGTTCTGGAATGCTCTTTTTAGAAGCTTGGATTTTTATTTCTAAGGCAATGGAATGGGGGTGATGGGAGTGGTGGTATGTCTTGAAGACTTTTTTTTTTTTTTTTGAGTT